TACGTTATTCACGTAGCTGAAGTTGCGTACCTTAATTTGAATTAGGGGGTTAGTGTAGACCTGGCCTATGAGAGTAGCATGCAATAAATAGTCTCTCAAGGAGAGGGAGTCTAAATACTAAATATTCTTCTTTGGCAGTGGCTACTGTGTGAACTCTGTGTGGTGATTATTTTTAGTTATCAGATGGGTTTTGGAATGAATTGGTTGTTATGGACAGCAGTCGTCTTGATATTAGGTCAGTTTTTGAGTTAGGATCAGCTGCAATTCATCATAGCAAAGCTACCTTGAGGGTAACACTATGTCAGTATGAATTGGACAAGCATAGCTGGTGTGAAGGACTTTGGTGTGATGCATATTGAACTTGAGTGTATTACCTTTATTTCGAAATGTGGTGGTTGCACACATTCAAGCTGGCAAGCTGCTGACTTATACATACACAAACTGGAAAGAGTGATTCATTTTTACATAGTAATAATCAACAGATCTGTTTTCTACATGGCTTGTGTCTAAGATCTCAAGTTTGCAGGGGTAGCAATTAAATTTGTAAGCTGAAACATTTTATATGGAAGGTTAGAACCTCACAATACTATTTTTTCATTCACTTATCTGATTAGAATTGCATTAGCTGGACCATAGCTTTGCACCATCCTTTCTAATCCGCCCCCACCATAGCTTTTGAAGTTCATTTAATGAACAGTCCTCTGTATCAAGACCTATTCTATATTATCTGTTCACATGCCTGTCCCAATAGTCTAAGCCTCTCTGTGGCTAGGCAGATGGAGAAATGAGACTTAGTTTATGTAGAATGTATCCGGCCTACTGGTACCTCATCCGACATTTGTCTGTTTCACCTACTTGTTGTTTCTAAAAAATCCTCTCTGGGTGAGGGATGGCTTTTCTTGCTCCTTGTTTCAACAGTATCTAGCTCAGCGACATTTCTTTGGCCTCTAGGTGCTACAGTAATACAAACAGGTAGAGCCCTACCAAATTCACAGCCATGAAAAACACATCCCGGACCGTGAAAGTGTGGCGTGTGGTGTGTGTGTGTGGAGGGGAGTTGTGGTATTTCGCCCTTACTTCTGTGCTGCCTTCAGAGCTGGACCCCCTCTCTCCAACCATCCAGCTCTGAAGGCAGTGTCCCAGCAGAAGTGAGGGTGGCATGGTATGGGGGGGTCATTACTTTTGGGGTGGGGGACTGGGCTGGCCTCATGGGTGGGTGCCGTGGGCAACAGCCCAGGGCTCCGTGGCCAACCCCCCACGAACGCAGACAGCCAACCCACGGCCTTTTTAACCCCGAGCGCTGGACTTGGAGGTGGGGAGGGACAGAGCTGGTGGCACTTCAGTTGGGGGCTCCTACTGTGGAGGATCCAGCTGCTAGCTTTGGCTAGGCTGGGGAGGGATGGGACTTCCTTTTCCCCAAGACAGGTTGCTCCTGGGGCCAGGTCAGAGCCACCTCTGGGAACCTCTCCCGGTTGTAGGAAGCTCCACAATTGATTGCTGGGAGCCCAGGTCTGAAGGAAGTGCCACCGCAAGCCACAGTGTGGAAGTCAGGGTAGCAGGATGGCAGTATCCTACCTTGACTTCTGCACTGTGGCTCGGGGTGGTGCTGCCTTCAGACCTGGGTGCCTGGCTAGCAGCTGCCGCTCTTCGGCCACTTAGCTCTAAAGGCAGTGCTGCGGCCAGCCGCAGTGCAGAAGTAATGGCGGCAATACCGCAAGCCCCCCGTGTGCCCACAACCCCCTTTTGGGTTGGGACACCTGCAGTTAGTGTCAAATTTCAGATTTTTAAAATTCTGTGACCGTGAAACTTACCAGAATGGACTGTGAATTTTGGTAGGGCCCTCCAAATAGGAATGTCAGTTTCTCTCTCTCTCTCACTCACACACTCACACACACACTCTTTCACAAACAGTGTTTGTGGTGGGAGGGAGGAAGGACCCTGTAGCAGCTTTTTCCACTCAATCAGTACAGAACAAATTCAACTTTTCAACCCTTCTTCCACCCCCTGATAAAATCCACATATAATGTACATGAAGTCTCACATTTAGCCTTGGCATTTGCTCAGAGGCCATAACAAAATACTGCTTTTGAGGATGGTTGTGTGTATGTATAAACAAATCACTGCATGCAATCAGTAGCTGGATTTTTATTTATTTATTTTGGTTGAGGCTGACTAACACTTTGGTAAGAAATTAGTTTTCAGGAATACCTTTTGTATTAATACAGACAGGGCTCTTCAGCTGTTAAGCCTATATGTTTAGGAGCCTATTAGAATGCTAAGTGTGCTGTATTCAGAGATATTCTGTGTCTGTCAAAAAGACTGGCTTTCTTAAGATTGGTAGAATGCTAACTGGATGGACCATTGTTAAACTGCACTATGAAGAATGAGAATTTTTCTTAGAAAAGTCACTAAAAATTGTGTGGGTTTTCTTTGGTTGTCCCCTTGAAATGATTAGGATTTTTTTAAGAAACCATGGACGTTTTGCTGCTCTCTGGTCAATTGTATACAGACACGTGTACACTAATATGATATTAATCTTTAAGGTGTTCATATTGCTATAAAGTGAAATCTTAGAATATTTTGAAGTGGAATGCTATTTTCGTATTTTTGGCTAATCCTGTGTCAGTGGGACTTCTGGGTACCCAGCACCTTTTGACAGCACCACCACTGAGGTGTCTACATATAAGTCCAGGTGCCTAATTTTAGGGATCCAAAGGTCAAATATTTTACCTTGATGTCTAACCCTCATTTCCCTATCTCTAAAATGAAACTGCTACCTTACAGCTTTGTTGAAAATTAGGTTCATAAAGCTCTTTGAAGATGAAAAATATGCTTATTTGTTACATTTTTGTTAAAAATAAGCTAATTACGGTTTTTCTTGTTCATAGTTACTTGTGTGCATGCATGTAGATAAAATCCTTAGTAAAAAGGCTACAGTCCTGGCAACTAACTTTCATGGTGGTATATTGTAGGATTTGAAGTTTCAAAAAGTTTGTCTGTAATCTGTAATTCCTCCTGTACAGCTACATAATGGGATACAATCCAATTGTTAGTACTAGGCTGTTCAGTGAACCAAAACTTATTGAAAATTCAGGAAAAGCCCATCTTTCCCATGTGTAATAGTCATCATAGATGCTTAAAAAAAACCCCACCAATTGTCACACATTTTTATGAAGATACCTTTAGCTTATGCTCAGTTATATGCAGTAGAGTAGCTTGAACATAGGTTAAAATGAGTCTGGAAGTGGTGCAATACCAGTTTAAAGACCTACAGCTCATACACTAAGTAAATATCTGAAGAAGAGGTTAGCTTATAAAAAGGTTGTTTTATAACTTTGCAAGTCATTGGTTTTTGTTCAGAATTTGGGATTTTCTAATTATTAAACCATTTGAAACATTTATTCTTTTAAATGCTATCAAAGAATTTCATCACTGTTCCATAATTGAGCGTAGGAGAAAGTTGGTGATATGTCAGAATTCACAGTATTAATTTATCTTTTAACCTTATAGCAGCTCCTACATTTCCTCCTGCCTCTCAGCCTGATCATATTTCTCCTAAGAATGTTTCAAATTCTTAATTAAACTGGGTCTTGTGATTTCAGCACTAAACTTAGGAGAGCCAGTTATAAACATTAATGCTGTCCGAGAGAACTGATAGGAGCAGTAAGCTATTGAATAATCAGTATGTCAGGCAGCCCTTTCTTGTATACAGGTTATTTTTGTGCAGTATATTGGTGTATGTCTTAAATACCTTAGTTCAGTTATTGTAGTACTGCAGAACTAACTGTTTGTTTTTTCTTCTCTTTTTTTCCTCTCAAATCAGGACAGAGCTTGGGTTATGGCTTTGTGAACTACATTGACCCCAAGGATGCTGAAAAGGCTATCAACACGCTGAATGGATTAAGACTTCAAACCAAAACAATAAAAGTATGTGGTGCTAATTCTAGTTTGAGGAAAATACAGATTGAAGTCTAAGTTTTGTGACATTAATCACCACCGTATGCTCTCTTACCGTTCCACCTGTGGCTTAGGTTTTCTGATATGGGCAACACAACTAATGGGTTTTTTTATATTCATAAACTAGTGTGCTTAGTGCATTAACATGAACAGAAGTTACTTAGACTATGTGCCAAATTGTTTCCATATCAGATGTATGCCTGTTTACATTTTACCCAAGAAATGGATCCTCATAATGGCATGATCTTGAGGTTTCTCTCATTAGGATATATACATACTGTATTTCTGAAAGGTTTTGTTGTTTGGAGAGAGTGTACCACTTCCCTGTTTTTTCCTCTGTGCAATATGTATATTGCTTATGAAGACTCTCACTGGTGTGTCCCTGGGAAAACCTGTTTAAAATAAAATGTGCTGAAATGAATAAGGCCAGAGGATTATGAAAAACCCTAGCATTGCTATTTGACACCTGTGACTGGCCCGTGCCACCTGACTCAGGCTTGCGAGGTCCCAGAGCCTGGCCTCCAGCCTGAGCCTGAATGTTAACACTGCAACTAAACATCCCCTTTCCCTGGGCCCCATTAGCCCAAGTCAGCTGTCATGGGCCAGCCATGGGTTTTAACTGCGGTGTAGACATACCCTAAGAGTCCAACTCATAGCAAGCCTCCAATTGTGTTTTGGATTCAGTTTTTGCCCCAAATACTAGCAAGCAAGCCAAGCCACAATACAATTTTACAGTTCTGTAAAGAACAGAAGTAATCTTGAGCAATCTTCCCCTCCCCGAGTGTTATCACCTAAACCAGTTTATGGTGGCACTTGTCTGCCTTCAGAGCTTAGGGGCAAGAATGAAGAAGAATGAGGCTAGCTCTCCTTTTATTCCTAAAGTTCAAGAGCTCCTTTTGAACACTTATTTTCATAGAATCTTAGAAATATAGGCCGGGAAGGACCTCAGTAAGTTATCTAGTCCAGTGCCCTGTGCTGATGCAGGACTAAGTATTACCTACTTTTATCCTTGACAGCTGTTTTTCTAATCTGCTTTTTAAAACCTCCAATAACTGAGATTCCACAAACTCCTTATGTGACCTGTTCCAGTGCTTAACTACCCTTAGAATTAGGTTACACATTAAGAAAAACTTCCCAAGTCTCTCTTGCTGCAATTTGAGCCCATTGCTTCTTATCCTCTCCTCAGTGGATAAGGAGAACAGTTTATCACCCTTCTCTTTAATGTACTTGAAGACTGTTATCAGGTCCCCCTTACTCTTCTCTTCTCCATACTAAACAACCCTAGGTTTTTTTCAGTCTTTCCTCATCGGTCATATTTTCTAGGCCTTTAAGCTTCTGTCCTAACTTGCTCAGGGCAGGTCTTCACTACGGGGGGGGGGGTGTCGATTTTAAGATACGCAAATTCAGCTATGCGAATAGCGTAGCTGAATTCAACGTATCGGAGCCGACTTACCCCGATGTGAGGAGGGCGGCAAAATCGACCTCCGCGGCTCCCCATCGACAGCCCTTACTCCTACCTCTGCTGGTGGAGTAAGCGCGTCGATTCGGGGATCGATTGTCGCGTCCCGACGAGACGTGATAATTTGATCCCCGAGAGATCGATTTCTACCCACCGATTCAGGCGGGTAGTATAGACCTAGCCTGAGTCTCTCTAGAATTATTTCAGTCAGAAGGATGCTAATCTTCTGAGTAGTTTTGGGCTTTAGAAGCCAAGGAATACAGGTTAAACAGGATAAGTTGTCAGGAAGTGTTTCATCTCTCAAGGATATTTTGTGTCAGTAAAATATTGTTCATCCTTGTATTTGCTGACTCTTCTAGTCTTTGTGTAGTGTCTAAAAGCAACTGTCATCCAGCTCACTATCATTCAGGTTAGAGACAATGATGCTTTAGTTAGTGACTTCAGAGCTCAGTTAGCAAATGTAGCCTGTTCTGCCCTTTACTGAGGTCAGACTTGTTCCTTTGGACATGCAGTTTGCTTGTGAAAGGGCTTAAATGTAAAAGTGAATCTGGGACATTTAAAAAGGTTTTTGAGGCAAAGAGATTGTTCCTTGGGAAAAGGTGGAAAAGGCAGGGCATGTATTCTCTAACCTATAAGATTTATTAAAATGAATAGTGATCTGCAAATTTTATTGAATGCTGCTGTTCTGTATCCTGTTAAACACATGTATTTGTGTCTGAGGAATGCTTTAGCATGAAAGACATAACTTTGTTCCTCTAGCAGAGGTTTTGACTCTTGAAAGGATTTTTCTTGAACTGATCAAAAAGACAGGTGTGGGGAGGAAGGGACTAATTTCCCAAGGAATTTGCAAATTTTTAAAGATATTTTCCTTTTTGGTAATCTGGATTGTGTTCCTGAAGTAAAGGAACTTTTTTGTGGTCTGACAATGTTGTGAACTTTTTAAATGTGCATTTTTTGGAGGGTTTGTGGCACACCTCTTGCCCCAGTAAAACAGTTCTGCGTAGAATGCTGTTGTCTGTCTTACTACTGCCTCTCTGGGTTGCGAGTCAGAAGGGGATGTTACATGTAGTGACACAAGCCAGACATCCAAAATCAAAATGATCCCCCAAGATTGTTGACAGTAAGTTCCTTCAGTATGTATGTATATTAGGGCTGTCAATCACAGTTAACACCTGTGACTGAAAACAAAATTAACGCGTTAATTTTAACACATTAATGGCATGAAGCCCCGGCCCGGAGCTCTGGGCCCCAAGCCTGTATTTGAAAATATAGGAAATAGCCAAAAATTTAAATAAATGGTATTCTGTTATTTAATATTGTGATTAATAGGGATTAATGGCAGTTTTAATTTTGTTAATCGCTTGACAGCCCTAATGTATATGGAATCCTCATTCACCTTCCAGATAGTCATTGGGCAAACAAGTGAAGAGCAATGGAAAAGGAGATGATACCAGGAGGTAAAGAGCAAAAACACAGTAAATGGAACACTGGTATCTCATCCCCCACCCTCATTCACACAATACAGTCTATCTGCTAGGTTAAACAAATGGTAGCATTGAGTAAAAGTAGCCAACAACTGGATACTGAAGTTAAGAGAAACAAAAACATTTAGGCTTGATCATTAAACTTGAGATCTCTTCTTTGAAATTTGTAAGGCGCGTGTCTAGGCGTTTTTATAAACACAGTCCAACTCAGTAGGCCAAAATGTTGAGACCTTCTGTTGCACTGAAATTAACTTTTCCTTTTCCCCTTAGTTTTGTAAACTGTCTGAGTGCTGCTCATATCTTTCCCATTAAGGGCTGAATTCTGTTCTTCTTGACTTCAGTGGGAATTTCACATAATGGGGAGGAGGGGCAGCATTTCGCCTCAAGAAAGGAGTGTTGTACGTTCATAAGGATCTGTTGGAAGTCCTGCATCCTAGGTCGACTCAGATGCTGATTTGCAAGGTTTGAGCTATCTTCGGAGACAGCAAAGTTCTGTGATAGCTATATGTCTGGGCTTGAGGGGGAAAAGAATCTTTTCTTCCCTGACCTACTCTTTGGTGTTCCGAGAAGGGTATTAGTGAATTGCTACAGGCTCTCCAATATGATTGGTCATGGAAATTTGATTTTTTTTTCCAGAGTCACTTCTAAAACTAGAGGATATTTAATGATCAATCCCCTAACAAGACTTACCTACATTGGACATTTGCTTAACTCTCCTTGAAAGTGGTAGGTATCCCATAAGATTTTTGTCAGGGACCTGCTGTTGTATGAGATTCGCAGCTGAGAACAAACAACCAAAGATAAGTAGCTTATGTCTTGATTTCTGTGTCACTAGATCAGCCCAGGCTCCATATCTACTGTACATATTGATATGGAGTTTAGTCTTAAAGAGGCTTGTGTTGGTTCAGAATTCACATGTGGGTGAGGTTTGTCATCTTAAACCAGTTCTCTCTAAGCAGTGGCCAGCTAGGACCATAGCAGTCCTGTAAAGTTATACCAGAGTTATTTGTGGCAGATCAAGACTTCATCCCATTCCTGTTAGTATATCGTACTCTTATTTATCAACACCTTTGAGCTGGCTAAAATTATCAAGCCCAGACAAACTGGTCCTTAGAGCTATCACTGATTTCCACATCAGCTAGGAAATAGCTTAGTTTTTACACACTTCCTTCAAAGGGAAAGGATGGGGCTATCCCTCATTGTTTGACTCCCATAAATAAGGCTACGATTAGAGCTGGACACACTATTGTGACACGATGGGCCAGTTTGAGTTTGCGAAACAGATGGAAATAGCTTTTTTTGCTGAATATTTAATACTTGCAAAAGTCTTTTTTTTTTTTTTTCTCCCCCCGTCCCCCATTTTTTTTGTCTGAAATTGTCTACCTTGCGGTAGGTCTGGTGAAATGATCAACACTTGTCAACTTTCACCATAAAAGTGGAAGTAGTCCATTTTGGAGGGTAGTGTACCTACTACATGGTACTATGGATTGAGCACGGGATTGGGCATCTGCAACTTGCGGTTTCCATTCCCACCTCTAGCACTAGCCACCATTAATACTGTAATCTTTAGGAGAGTCTACCAACACTGTTGTCTTAAAGCAGATGTGCTTGAAAATTTGCTCATACTGCAACATGTGCAAAATCAGGCTGCCCCTTTTACAAATGCAATTAACTCTCTAACATTAAAAAAAAATGTAGGAATGATTTTATTAAAATACTTGCAAAATATTTTGCATTGGTTTTTTTCATTCATACAATCATGTTTTCAGACCTAGTCTGGTAATCACAGCAGCTTATAAATTTGTGTTATGCTGCCCTCATTGTTTTTAATTACTCATTTGACCTTTGGCACTAGGAAAAATCTACATTTGTACTGTGGTAACATTTAGAGGCCCCAATCCAGGATCAGAGACCTACTCTGCTAGGCACTACACACACAGAACAAAAAGAGAATCCCTGCATCAAATAGTTGACAGTTGTAGATCTTGCGATGTATGTGGACTTTTATCACAGCTTGAGGTCTTAAA